GATTTATACAAGCAAGTCCTGGAAGCTTGAGGAAAAGGCTGGGAAACTGGACTCCAGAGATAAGGCAAGAGTTGAGGAAAAGATAAACTATGCTTTTTGCTTGCTATCTTTGCCATGGGTTAAAAAAGAACAGTGTACTTGACTCCTCTTTTGCAAGAATTCAACCAACCCTATCTGGCAGTGTCTTTTTAAAATCAGAGTCTGCAAGGAGCTGAGTTAAGAAGCAGCATGATCTCAGTGACTTCAGGATCTTAAATCATCCACTGGGACAGATTGGCACAGTCCTGGTTTGCCCTCCAATCATAGCAGTCCTAGAGGACCCTGGGTACTGGAGCCACACTGTCTAGGCTGGGTCTCCGTAATTTTCTTTCAATATTTCCTTAATGGAAATCACAGAACTAGCATCCTTCAGAAAAACAATTTCACTTTTAGAATTAAAAAAAAAATCAAACTAAAGAAATAACTAATGTATCCAGCATAGAGAGATGGTACAATCTTACTTTATATGTGAGAAGGTTTCACATGAAAGAATTTTTTGGAACAAGGAGTGATGCAGATTTAGACTAACAAAGTGTTTTAAATATATCTCATGGGTTTTTGTTGCATATGAGCTACATACCTTTTCAAATACATTACTTAGTCTCAAGTGCATTGATTAACTGTGCTCTGCAGTCAGAAGATTCTAAAGAATGTAGAATACAAAATTTAGAAAAGTTTTAAAATTTTTACTTGATCTTTAAACTTTTATATTCTTGATCCTGATAATTTATTTATAGGTGATTCTACTTTAAAGTGATTTTAAATCTCATAAAAGGATGTGAGGAAACACAAAGTGTATTTTACTTTAATACTAAAATTTTAAATAAAGAAATAGGATGCTTTTTACTTTCAGGTAACCCTGGACCAAATACTTTGGCCACTGATGCATGCCCTTAGAGAGCTTATGATTCCAATGGAGAGAAAGCCTAACATTTATGCAATAACAGCAAACACTATAAAGTAGGATAAATGTATATGCTAATATACAAAATGTAGACTCCATATGGTGTAGAAAGAAGTACAGAGGAAGTGGGAGAGGTCTAGACTTTGTTGAAGGATCCCAGGTGACATGGGCTAGAGGATAAGAGGAGATGCCACCAATAAAAGCTGATATAAGAATTTTCACAGGACTAAAGGTGACCTTTAAATTCCTGGGTATTTTTTACATAAACAATCATGTCATCTGCAAATGGGGGGCAGTTTTATTTTTCCTTTTTATTGTATATGCCTTTTATTTCCTTTTCTTGCCATATCATGTTCCTTAAAAGTTCTAACACTATGTTGAGTAAATCTGGTGATAGCTGACATCCGTTCTTCTCAATCAAGGAAAATATCCAGTCTTTTATTGTGAAGTATAATATTTGCTCTAAGTTTTTGCAGATGTTTATCAATTTCAATTCTTAAATTTCTCATTTTCTTATGGCTTAGTATATAATCTATTGTAGTATATGTTCCATGGCACTTGAAAAGGATATTATTCTACTGCTGTTAATTAGTGTACAAATATTGACAGATCCTATTGCTTGAAGGTGTCCCTCAGCTCTTCTTTATCTGCTGATTTTCTCTTCAGTCATTCAGTTTCAAGAGAGGACTATTCAAGTTGGAAACTTAATTATGGGCTTACCTGTTTCTCCTTTCATATCTATCAGTTTTTGCTCCCACATATTTTATAGCTCCACTGTTTGCTGCATACATATTTCGGATCACTATGTGTTCTTGAAATATTCACCCTTTGCCATTATATAATGTCCCTCTCATTCTTTGTTATTTTTGCTCTGCAGTCTACTTTGTCTGACAATCTGAATGCTATTCTTGTTTCTTTTATCAATATTTTCATATTATGTTATTTCTGTTCCTTTACTTTCAACTCGTCTATAGGATTATATTTTAATTAAATTTCTTACATACATAGAACATATTTTTAACCTAATCTGTCTTTAAATTGTTTTGTTTATACCATTTACATTTAATGTAATCATTGATGAGCTGGGTGTTATTTTTTTTTTCCATTTATTCAGTTTTTCAAGTCTCTTTTTTTCTTTTTCCTACAATCCTGCATGTTACTTGAACATTTTTAGACTCTCACTTTGATTCATCATACTGTATTTTATTATGTTTCCTTATAGCTTTTTTGTGTCTGGTAGAACCCTACTATTGTTAGGTAGTGTAGAAAGGCCTAAATCTCTGTTAGTCCTCTGATACCATCCCAATGGGGTGGAAAAGATACACTTTATAATGACCATGAAAGGGTATAAGTTCAGGCTTCCTCCATAAATACTACATATTGGGGTGCAGTGTGAACCCCTCCCTCTCAAAATGAAATTCTCGGCACTCTACCTGTTCATTTCTGACACTACCCTTATGGGAGGTAGAGGAAGAGTTAGGGGACATCATTAAAGCCTAACAAGTGTGGAAGTCTTAACCTTTAGAGGTAGGGGTGTGGCCCTGTTTTTCCTGCTTTGGCTTCAGCGAAGTGGTAGTTGTATACAAGTTTTGTCTTTCTAAACCATCCCTTTCCTGGCCATTTTGTTACAGAAAAAGCAAACTTTTGGTGGAGCTGTTTGGTCTGCTTTCATTGGTGTTTGCAGGTAACTGATTTCCAAATCTGGGGTGATGAAGCAAAAAGATAACCCAAGGAGCTGAGCACTGTTTTTCTTTGGGCCTGAAAGGCCCTAGCTTGCTTTCCATCTTCTCTCCACCTTTGTTGGGGAGGCAGATATTATAAAAACTGGCTCATAAAATTTTCAAGTTCCAAGAACCACAAGGTGAATTGGTGTGTTAGCTGTCCTTTGCTGTAACAAAGTTCCCAAGAAAATCATCTTAAGGAAAAAAGTTTATTTTTATTTAGGGTTCAGAGGTTTCAGTCCATGGTTATTTGGTTCTCTTGTTTCTGAGTCTTTAGTAAGTACATCATCATGACAGAGGGTACAATGGAGCAGAGCTGTTCATTTAATGGCAGCCAAGTCAGGTTTTAAACACATGAGCTTTTGGGGGATATTCTAGAACCAAGACAGCTGATGATTTAGTTCCTGTCTGAAGGCCCACAAGCCTCAGAAAAAGCCAGTGTTTCAATTCCAGTCCAAAAACAGGAATAACTTTGTCTTACTCAAGGAAAGGTCAAGCTTTTTGTTCAGCTGCTTAAATGAGGACAACCCAAATTAAGCGATAATTGTGTGCTTATTTTATTCTTTCAATTTAAATACTAATCTCTCCAGAACCACTGTCACAGAAACACCCAGAATAATGTTTGATCAAATATTTGAGTACTCTGTGACCTAGTCACTTTGACACAAAATTTACTACTACAGCATGTGATCAATTAAAACCTTTGGCCCAACAAACTGGCTAATTTTGGCCTGTGGATTCACAAATTCACATGTTAAGCTCACTTTGAGATATATGAAGCAATTTAAAGGCAATTACTGCCAGGGATTTAGCTCAGCGGTTCGGTGGCCTGCCTCGCAAGCACAAGGACCCAAGTTCGATCCCCGGTACCAAAAATAAAAAATAAAAATAAAAGCAATTACTAAAGCCTTCCAAAGACAAAAGAAAAATGTTTTTAAAGGGAACAGCCACAAAACCCTGGGAGACAGTATGTATGGCATTTTAGGAAGTAAGTACCTTCTAGTTGCCTTGTTTCTTCAGAATATCTTTATAAATAGGAAAATGGTTATAGCTTTAATTTTTCTGATTCTTACAGTTAGAATATGTTTTTTCATTGTGAAAAGTTTGAGAAGATCCAAAATTGGAATTTATCATGACCTATAATGCTTTGTCACAATCTTAACATTTTCCTTGGAGCCAGCACCTAGGTGTCAAGGACTGGCTGGGTGCAGGCTTCACTTGTTGGAGAATACTTTAGACTCCAAGAGATCTTGGGTCCCACATGTGTGGCCTGGAGAAAATTACATCACTTGTCTAAGCAGTAGTATTCTTAACTGAAAAGGGGATGTCATATATATAAAATCAGTAGTTATGTTATAAACATTAGATAATATATGTGAAGTCCAGTTTTTAAAATGTAGTAATGCCCAATAATGATAGTTCTGATCACATATAATTGTTATCAGATGACTTTGCTAAGAGCTAGACTCTTGGAGATGGGGAAGAAGATTGTCTTAGTTACTTTTCTTCTTGCTGAAGCAAAATACCTGACACCCACAAGTTAGAGAAGGAAAGGTTTATTTCAGCTCATAGTTTATAGAGGTATCAGTAGTTAGTCGGCTGGCTCCAAGGCAGGGTGGCCTAGTAGAGGGGAATCACAAAAGAGGCAGGCAAGAGGCAGCAGCAGGCAGCAAGCAGCGGCATCTTGCTTTCTTTCTGTCCCTTTATATTCCATCCAGGCTACAAGACTGTTGATTGGTGCCACCCACGCCTAGAGTGAGCCTTCCATTATCTGCACCCTTAATCCCAGTATTACACCATTAATCCACATTCATGCACCCTAAATTCAGCCACCTCTGAAAAGCCCCATTTATGAGCCCATGAGGTTTTGGGGGCACATCTAGATATAAGCCATAACAGGAGGAAGGTGGAAAGGGAGATGGAAATAATGAAATTAAAATTAATAAAGGTATGTTAAATGCATGTGCCAACTCCCAAACCACACCATTCTGTAATATTAACATGCACTAAAGTAATTTTTAAGATGGCCTTTGTCATTATAACCTCTTAGTAAACATTTTTAAAAGCTACAGAGAGTCCAGTTGCTTGAATAATCATAATTAAACATTCCCTAATTTTAGAAATCTATGTAATCTTCAGTTTTCCCATTTATGAGTAAGACTACCATCCCTAGGGCTTAAATCTCTGCCTCAATTTTAGATCATTTCCTTAAATTCAACTTCTTAGAGGAAGAAGTACAAAATTAAGACACAGAACCTTCTAGAAAGGTAGTGCCAATTGTACCAACATATAAAATGAATGACACTTTTTAAATTTTCAAACATTTTGTTTCCTAGAATCATCAGATCATGAAGGAGGAGGAGAAACAAAAATGATACAGAAGGAGACAGCTGCAATTCCTGCATCATCAAAAAAACCCAAACAGGTAGAAGTCACTGGGAGCAGTGCATTTCTTGGATTCTAAAATAAGCTTCTACCACTCTCCAGCTTTTCCTATGCCCCAGTATGATTTATGAAAGCTTTTGTTTTTCTGCCTTTGAAAAAGCCATGGTTTCTTAATTATGAACCAGCAAAGCCTATATCCTTCTTTTTTGTGTTTTTTTAACTATACAAATATAATTCATAAGAATTGTTTTTAGCTTCTTATGTCACATTTTCATTGAAGGTCCAAGCTTATTATTTTGGGTACAGTTCCTTAGAGGAGACAGATAGCATACACATATGAAACATCTTCCTAAACACAATCCTCTGAATACGCCACCATGCTATATTGCCAGCTGGTTTCTGGGGCCTTATTTCTACCTGGTGTATGGTTGTGATATGCCTTCTTACCAAGGACTTGCTGCCATGTCTTATTCTAAGGCCATTTGGAATAAGCTTTCCTTCCTGGCCCTAACTTTTTATCACCTTTTAAGTATTTTTACTGAGCTCTGAAATGCCTTCACATCCATTTGATCAAGCTTTTTACCATTATGTGTTCCCTCCTTTCCCCTAACTGAGCCTCACATTTGTGTTACTTACTCTACACCTCCAATCTGCAGCAGATTTATAACTTTCTAAGTTTTTTTAATACTTACAACTACATCATCTCTAGCAACCATTTCACATCTAAATAAACCTCTTTGGCTTGCTTAATAATGTGAGTGTAAAATTTACCAGCAGTTCTACTCCTCTCCACCCCTGTACTCCTTCCAAAATAAATGATGAATTACCCTACTCCTAGAGATTGCATCACCCTCTTCCCTCCTCAGCATCAGTCACTTCAGAGCCAGCCCTACTGACTTTGTAGTTATGGTTCCCAGAATATAAACCCTTACAAGAGATTTTGTGACTCTTCACGGAAGCCTGGATGATGTCAGGAGCTTTTCAATGGTTCCATGACCTGTGCTTTCCCACTCAAAGGCCACATTTGACTTCTTTATCCTCCACCTAGACTTTTGTTTGTTTCCCTGGGTCATAAAGAAGTCTCCAGCACAAGTGCCTCTCCCTTCTCTTCCTTACTCACCTTTCTCTGTTATATTTTCTTTTTATATCTTTACTTGAGCACTGCTTATTTCATATTTCACTTTTTATTTCCAAGATCAAGCTTGATTCTTGTGAAGAAAAAAACAGAACTGTGCCTTTTCTTCTCTCTTCATTCATCTTTCATTTCCGTGTTAGTTTCAGTTCTAATCTTTTTTATATCAATCTGTTCTTGCTTAACAAATTGCCAAAAATTTAGTAGCTTAAAGCAGACAAAAGGCATTATCTCACTGTTTCTGTTATCGCAAAGACATGGTTTAGGTCAGTACATCTGGCATTACATCTTTCATGAGCAGCCAGTCACATTCCGGGTGGGGGCAGGGGCTAGCTAGGACAAGTCCATCCTGGAGCTCACATGTGTGGTGGTTGGCAGGCCTCAGTCCTTCTTTGTGAGCCTGTCCCCATTGTTGCCTCATAACACTGCAGCCAGTTTCCCTCATCCAACTGATCCAAGAGGGAACAAGCAAGACTCCTCAAGACAGAAACCAGTCTTTTATAAACTTTTCTCAGAGTTGACATCTCATCACTCCTGCCATTTTCTGTTCAGAACAAGTCAGTAAATCTAATCCTTATTCCGAGGTCAATGATGAGCTGGAGATTTATCTCAGTGTTTCTGCAGCATGCCTTGCAAGTACGAGGTCCTGAGTTCTACCCCCAGTACCAAAAAAACAAAAAACAAAAACAAAACAAAACAAGATCAAAGGGTAGTGGATACAAAGAGAGATTACTGAGTTGGAAATTATCATGGGTTCTGGTTTCCAAAGCCTTCCTTCTTGTATCTAATGATATATAACACTCCAATATGCAGAATATATTCACTCATCCAAGGCTCGCAAATCTCGTTACAGCATAAGCTCAACTTCAGAATCTCATCAGCAAAACCAAATCTAAGTACAGTTGAGGTTTCTAGGATTTAGTTCCATAAGCCAAGTTATCTTAGTATATTTTTTCTCAACCTATAAAACTAGAGAAAAGTTATCTCTCCCACATGCCCAACACACAGTGATGAGACAAGTATAGGATAACCACATTTAGCACTTCTATTCAAAAAGTGGAGTCTGCCGAAGTCATTGGACCAGAAGGGCAAATGTTAGGCGTTTGTTGATTAAATCTCAAAGCCCAGAAATAATTCTCCTTGTGTCTTGGCTCTATTCTTCGAGCACTTTGTTCTGCCCTCTGGGTCATCGCTATTTTTGAAAAGTAGCAGGTATTTGCAATTGAGCAGTCTTTCAACTTGTTTCTTGATAAAATTCTGAGATTCCTAAGAGCTCTCTTCCTTTTGTTCTCTGAACTCTCAGTTCAAACTAGTGATGCTCCTGCATATATATAATTCCTTTAGAAACTGTGGAGGTCCTCTGTGATTCTTCTGGGAGCTTATTCCATTAGGCAGAAATCAAATCTACAAATTTTGTGCTGGGGATTTAGCTCAGTGGCTCTGCCACCTGCCTTGCAAGTGCAAGGTTCCAAGTCCGATCCCCAGTACCAAAAAACAAACAAATGAACAAATCTATAAAATTTTTTCATATAAACCTTTTTCTACTTTGAGTACCTGCTGAGACAACTGGTAAAAAAAAAACAAAAAAAAAAAACCCTTAAGCTTCCCAGAGGCATATTGTTTGAGAAAATATGTGAGGCACACCCTTAATTTCTTCAAAGAGCTCTTGTGTGACTGAGTAATACTGTAGCCCCCATATACCATTTATGGGTTTTTTTTTTCCTATGGTTTAAAACTACTATATGGTCAATTCCAGAAATAAATAATTCATAAATTTTAAACTGTGTGTCATTCTAAGTAACATAATGAAATCACACTGTCTTAAGGATGACTATAGTATACTAGGATATTTTGAGAATACATGCACAAACTTTTATTATACTATATTATTATAATTACTCTATTTTATTATTAGTTATTAATGTCATATTGTGTCTAATTTATAAATTAAACTTTATCATAGGTATGTATAGGGAAAAACATAATATATGTAGGGCTTGGTACCATCCATGCTCCCAGCATCCACTGGGGGTCCTGGAACACATCTCTCATAGATAACAGCTCTACTGCACTCTGAGGCACTACCTTTGTTCTTTCTGAGATTTTAATGGTGACTGTAAATTCACACCCTTAATTTCACCTTAACAATTCCTGCGATTTAACTCCCTTCTTTCGCATTTTACTATAAGCCCCAGGAAAAAATCAAATGGCTGCTTCAACACTTTGTGGAAATCTCCTTACCTAAATTAACCACTCATTAAACACATCTGCTTTCCTTATAACTACAGAGAACAACATTGCTAAATTTTTTACCACTACATAGCAAAGATCCTTTTCTTCCTGTTGTCAGTGTGATTTTCCTTACTTTCTTCATATCCTTGCCCTCAACTTCAAAGTCCAAAATTTTTTGAAGTCTGTGCAGGTACACTTCTACAGGTTAGTCACATTTTCTCACCCACACATTTTGAAGTAATTGTAGGAGAAGGGGAAATAAAAAGAATTAAGATGTGTAATGTACATGTACCAACTACCCTGATTATGTACTGTAAACACATACTAATGAAAATAAGTAAATGAAAAGTTATATCCCACCCAGTACTTTAACATGTATAGTATTAACTAATGTTCAGTGTTTCTTTTAAAGTGCTTTAGATTTTTTTAGATTTTTGTTCTGTGTTTTTGTTGTTTTTGTTTGCTGGCTGGCTTGTTTGTTTTTGGTACCAGGGCTTGAACTCTGTTCTGTATTTTTGAGTGTCTTGTTTTGTTTTCATTTGTCTTGTTGTGTCCTTTCCCTTTCCCTTTCCATTATCCAATAAAGGTCTCACTGTGTTGCCCAGACTGAGCTCAACTCATAATCCTCCTGCTTCGGAGGGAAGGGGACTACAGGCGAGTGCTACTACACCTGATTTGTTTTAAACTTCTTTCATTTTCTTTTGAGAAAGAGTTAATATACACATACACAAAAATGCACAGATATCGAGTATACCATTTGATGAATTTTGACAGACAGATACAACTCTGTAAAACAAATCCCTGTCAGGAAAAAGGACAGTATCATCACTTCAGAATCCTTTTATGCACCTTGAAGGTAGTCAGCATTCCAAATTCCTTGCAACAGAGGTAATAACTGTTCTCATATTTTTCAAAAAATTATTAGTTTTGCCTATTCTACAATTCCATGTAAATGGAAGTATATGCTTTTTTATTCAGGGCATATTTCATTCACAATGTTCTTTACATGTATCCATATTGTGTTTGTTTCCTTCCTTTTTACTGTTGAGCATACTGGTCTGCTAGAGCTATCAAAACTAAATTCCATCAACATGGTAACTTAAACAACAAAATCTGTTTCTCACAGTTCTGTAGGCTGGAAGTCCGAGACCAAGATGTTGACATTTTGGTGGGTGTGTATTAAATAACTTTTGACCAACTCCTAAGGAAACTAAAAAAACTAACTCTAAAATGTTTTAATTTTATAATGAAACTTTTATTATAAAGTGGCAATTTAAATATCTTATTTGTACTAATGTAATAATCATACATATTTTTTTAAAAAAACAGTCAAATGCTATTAAAAGTTTTTAACAAAAAAATAACCAGTTCTTTTTCCTAGTTCTGATATCCTATTCTCTCCTCAGAGAAAATCTCAGCTTTTCTAGCTTTTTAGCTATTTTGCTACCTTTTAGTTTATTGATTTCTGACAAATGTACTAACTTCCTGACATAATATATAAGGACATAGTTTTCATATACACCTCTTATTCCCCCTCCAATGCTTCCTCCCATGCTAATGTAATCTCACATTCTGGCTGAAGCAGTTATCAGTTATACTATTTCGATTATAGAAATAACGTTAAAATGTTGAGAAAAAGACAAGCTATAATCATCCTTCCTTTCTTATGTAGCTTT